ATATTCCTCTAGCCTTTTTATCATCCTAGTCATTCCCCCTTCACTCTCTGCCACCACTGCTACATCATCCGCATATGCCAATGTCCATATTTTCCTTCCTCCTACTTTTACCCCCCCCCATCCTTCTCTCTCCAATATCTCGTCCATGTCTGCTAACATTAATGTGAACAGACATGGACTCAGCGGGCACCCCTGCCTTACTCCCTTTCCTGTCCAGAAACGCCTCCCCTCTTTCTCCTCTACCCTTACTTTACACTGCGTCTCCCTCAAAATCTCTTCACATCTTTCTATTAGTCCCTCTCCTACCCCCCTCTTTCTCATGCTCTCTACTAAGATTTCCCTGTTTACCGAGTCAAACGCTGCTTTTAGGTCCATGAACATCACCACCATCTTCCCATCTTTCTCCTCAATCTTCTTATTTATCATATAGTTCAGCCCATATATTTGTCCCACTGTCCCCCTGCCCTCCCTAAACCCTGCTTGACTCGGCGGCAACATCCCCTTCTTTTCCACTTTCTTTCTCAGCCTGTTCTCTACCATCATAGCATATATTTTATATGCTGTCTGTGTCAATGTTATCCCTCTATAATCCCCCGCCTTCTTTCCTTTTCCTTTTTTCCATATCGGTACTATCACCCCCTCCCTCCATTCCTTCGGCCAACCCTCTCCCTTCCACACCTTCTTGCATATTTCCCATAGCCAACTCCTCACCTCTTCTCCCCCATATTTCCACACCTCGTTTACTATTCCATCTCCTCCTGCTGCTTTCTTGTCCTTCAACTGTCTTATTGCCCTCTCCATCTCCTCTCTGCTTAATTCCTCTTCCTCCTCCTCCTCACCTTTTTTTCTTCTTTCCCCCTTTCCTCTAACCCTCCAGTCCACCCCTCCTAACATTTCTTTAAAATATCCTTCCCATTCCTCCATTTTAATTCCCTGCTCTATCCCCCTTCTTCCCCCCCTTTCTCTTCTTACCACCTCCCATACCTGCCTTTCTGTTCTAATCCCTTCTATCTCTCTCTCCCACTCTTCCCTTTCCTTCTTTTTCTTTTCCTCACACACTCTTCTGAACTCCCTTCTACTTTTCCTGTATTTCTCTCCATCTCCCCCTTTTCTTTTCCATTCCC